CACACACACACACACACACACACACACATACACGCTTCGGGCAGTCACGTGTTCAGATATTATTCTTTTTTTGTGGCATCAGGAAAGTGTGAATCCAGATCATAGGTTAACAAACGTCATAAACCTGAGTAATTTGCTCTGAAACTTTAGTGAATTCATCTTTCTCGTTTCCTGTCCCTCCATTTCAGGATTCATGCCAAAAGCCTGCATGTTACGAGAAGACGGTGACTCTGTTGAAAGAGCCGCATGATTCTCTCGGCATGACGGTTGCGGGTGGGATGAGCAGCAGGGGGTGGGATCTGCCCGTCTACGTCACCAACGTCGACCCCAATGGAGTGGTTGGACAAGAGGGCTCGATCCGCAAAGGTACAGCCTCACAAAGTGTGTTTAACCTATTCAGACACATCTGACAAAGCCGCACACACCTGTTTCCAAGGTGCCCCTCTGATTTTTCCTTCTTTTGAATGCAAGTACACACACAAACAAAGACACACCTGCTACTGCATATGTATGACCGTCATCAGCTCTGCAAATATATGCATATGAAACACTAGAAAATGACACACTCCCACTCGTACACCTGCCATACTGCTAAATCTGTCTCTTTCATACACACAATTATCAGCTTTGAGCGTATGGACGTTTTTCGGGTTTATTTTTGTCATATGTGACATGTATGTAGGCGTGTGAAGTTGTGATCATGCACAGGACGGTGTATGAAGGCAGTGGTTTAAAGTGTCTAGCAATTACAGACACACACATGCAAGATCAAAGCTTTGAGTCTTTATATGCAGTACAAAGGTGTGGTAAGCCCAGTGTTTGAATTGAACCAGAAATTTCGTGAGGATCTGATATTTGGAAGAAAGTAGGTTTTAGAAAGTGCTTCCTGGTAAATTAGGCACTAAGCTGCTAATAAACTACAGCTAGTTACTCTTTTCATTTTGTGGATTACTAAGCGCAACTATGTACAATAGAAACAGTTATCATAGAATAGAAAATGATTTGTAATGAAGCTGAATTACAGCACTTTAGTCATTTCAATATGCATTTTCCTATCGCGTTAACTATGAACATTAGGTTTTAATTTATTAAAAATAAACTGAATGTATTTGTATTGAAAATAATCTTACACACACACACA